AACCGGTGGCATCCGCCCGCGAGCCGATGCCTCACAAAGGGAGGCGGTGGCTCAGGGCCCGCGTATCCCTGCGCCGGTTGGGTGTGGAGTATGTGCTGTGGCCGAGCCCATCCCCCAGCCTTTGTCTCCTGTCCGGGTTTGGAACCACGACCCGCACCCCCTGTCCCCCGGTTTTTGCCCCCGCCTTAGCTGCCCGAAGGTTCCGGGCAGTGACCTGTGCTTCGGGGAGCGGAGCCGGGGGCACGCGCCCGCCCCGTTCCGGCCTCTCGCCCGATTCTTCTCCGGGCTGCCGTGTCAGCCAGGACGTATCCGGCGCCATTGTTGTTCCCAGACACTTGTCGCCTGGGCACCGAGTTTTCTCTTAGAATTCTGGAGACGCAGCCTAAAATTCCGATGTCCAGGTGCTTAACTCAAGGTTTCCCTTTGGGGGAAATTCCGGGGAGGGGGTCTATTTAAGGTAAAGCCACTCAAGCGATGTAGAAAGAAAAGACTTGGGGTTTGGAGAAGCTTTTATTTTCATTCTAGCTCAAACTTAAAAAGTAAGAGTAGAGGCAAACCAGAGATTATGGGGAACTTGTGAAACAAACGAGGGAGCCTAGAAAAGCAGACCCATGAACGATGATTCGCAAACATCTGATAACAAATACGTCCTGGGTCTGGCTGCCCGAGGTCGCTGTATCTTGGAGGCAAAAAGCCTTGGCTTTCTTTGGATACTTTAAAGAAGACAAAGTTGGTTTTGACAGCGGGTTTGGATTTCGATTGAGTGAGAAGCCTGGAAACTTCCAAACGTCCCAGGTTTGGGAAGAACAAAATTAATCCAAGCTCGATTTACCAAGTCTAAGCAGGAAACCAGAAGCGTAGGGGGTCTAGCTGGCACTTAGTACCTGCAAAACGCACAAGAACGTTAAATATTTAGAACAACTTAAAGCCCTCCCGGAAGCCTCCCGAGACCTAGACACTGGCGGGAGACAACACTATGTTGTGGCTTCTCGAGACCTTTTCTACAAGTGGATTTCCACACTTAGTGGAATTCTTAAGCAGATAACCCGGAGCACTCGGATTTCCCTAATAAAAGGGCAATCAAAACGTGTATTATAATCTCAAAACCAACCGGCAGGACTTCAGGAGTTTGGGGAGAAATTTCGACACTTTGCTGCTCCTAAAATGGCTGCGGTCTGCATGAGGCAGGCTGACGCTGTTACATAATGAAAACTAAGGCCATGGACAAACCCATTTTACCCTTCCTTCAAAAAGCACTAAATACTACCTACTGTACGCCAAGAAAATATGAAAAGTATTTTTGTGTGCTACGAAAAAATTTCTAAGCAATGGCTCTGAGTTTTTGTGAACTGTCTACTTAAACGTGATTTTCATTGTTTTTAAGTTTTCGGCTAAAATCTAATTGCTACTAAGTCAAATATTTTTGGTTATATGGTTTGCAATCAAGCTGCATAAATGGTTAGGAAAAATCTAGAAAGGCTTGTAAAAACCAGTTTCTATTTTTAACCTGCCGAGGGACTATTTTTGCTTCCTTCCCTCACAAAGGAGTTCGGAGGGTTATTCAATGCGACGGCGTGCGCCGTCCTTCGCCCATAAATACGCCTCTCTCGGCTCTGCGTCAGGCTTTCAGGGAGCGAGCGCAGAGGTTCTTGCCGTTGCTGGAGGCACTGCTTGAGGAGCCGGCAGATAAGTTTTTCTTATTAAAAAGAGAAATTAGAATTCTTTAGGGTTATATTAAATAGCGAGAATACTTACTGTAGATGTGGCTTAGCATTAAAATCTCAAAGTAGCCTTAATCTTATTTAAGGGAAAATATGAAGACTTAAAAGTAAATTCAGAAAGGAAGATAGAAGAAAAGAGATTTCTAGAACTTGACGGAGGTTAAGAGATGAAGCTTCTTCATGGAGTTAAAAAAAAAAATTTCTCATTGCTGAAAGGACTGAAAAGTCCGAATTTTAGAAAGCCTTGAAGGGCAAACTTTAAAAATGGCATTAAAACGTAGATGACATAAATAGAAACTAATCATTTTAAAGAAGTCAAGTTATAGATAACTAAAATATTTTAAAAGCCGTCTTTTAAAAAGTCGAAGGTGATTTTAAAAGACCTTCAAATATATGGCGCAGGAAACATTGCGTCATTTGAAGCCTAATTGATCTTAAGGCATTAGCCGAAAATTGATGGAAATGTTAATTAGGAGTAGTAGGATAAAATTGTGGAAAAGATCAGAAATTCGAAGTGGAAAACTTGGAAGACAGAAGTGTACAGGAGGAAGGTGAAGAAAAATCTTAGAGAAGATAGAAGATAAAACACGCATTTTAGAAAAATAAAACCGAAAGGTAGGAAGCAGAAGAAAGTATTGAGACAAAGCTAGAAAACCAAGCAACTGAGGGCGAAGATGACAAATTAACTAGAAGATAGAAAAAACAAGGTTGAAAATTCTGTCAAGGAAAAGTATTTAAGCTAGAAAGAGAAAAGCAAGCTAAAGCATTCAAGATAGACATCAAAAAATTAGAAGATAGAAAAGTTTAAAGCCAAAAAATTTGGACAAAGTACAACAAAAACGAAGGAGGAAATTAATTTTTTTGTAGTAATAAGAATTTCTTATACAAGCCCACGAATCATATCTGGTGGTGCAGAAATTAGATTTGAGAAGATGAGAGCGTTTATTGTAGACCAGGACCAACTTAGAAGAATATCCGGAAGGAAGCTAGAAGGGGTATTGGTTAAAAATCGGCAAAAAGCTTACTAAAAGGACTGAAGTAATGTAAAAACTAGGATGTTTTTGAAACTTAAAAATTTGAAAGGCCTTAAATACATGAGCTTAGTTTTCATTGGAAAATTTAAAGGACTTTCATAAGTGAAGTGATTCAAGATCAAGAATAACCACCGAGTTAAAACGTTTTTGCATTGGACTGAGCTCAGATGGTCTAAACCCTGAGGACTAGCGTTAATTGAGAGCTGACCCAGGTGTGACACAGAAGTGGATTCAGTGACGCTAGGAAGACAGGAGCAGCAGACAGGATCCCAGGAGCCAGTGTGGTGAAGCTAGGACTGAGGAGCCAGCAGCAGTTCGTGGTGAAGATAGGAAAGAAAAGACCGGGAGCCAGTGCGATGTGGTGAAGGAAGCTAGGAAGAAGGAAGGAGCCCTAACGATTTGGAGGTGAAGCTAGGCGAGGATTCCAGAAAGGAGGAGCCGGTCCGATTGCTGACGCTAGCGTGCGGCTGCGCGACCCCGCGGAGGCGGCGAGCAGGCGGTGTGGAGGCTAGATAGAGCCTAGAGCAGCGCCCCGGTGCGCGGCCGCGGGGAGAGCCAGTGGTGGTAAAAGTCCGGGAGGTCGGCCGTGTCCTGGTCTTTGGTAACTTTATGGTAACTTCTGTTTACTAATAGTAATGGGGGAGTCGTGTACTTAAGCGGCGAGGGATTTATTATGGGATGTAGGCCGATTTCCGGGTGTCGTAGGTTTCTCTTTTTCAGGCTTAATTTCTCATGCATCTTGTCTGAAGCTTTTGAGGGCAAACTTCCAAGGCCCGGAGGAATGGTAGATGGCAAGTGTTTTGGTTTTGTCTTTTAACGAATTTGAGGGAAACATGAATTTGAGACAAAAGGCAAGTTTTGTAAGCAGTTTTTGTTTTTAGCTCGGGGTAATGGAACTATTCGGGT